ACTAGTAATGCTAGTTGAGTGAGGTCATGTTACTAGTAATGCGCTAATTGAGTGAGGTCATGTACTAGTAAGGCTAGTTGAGTGAGGTCATGTACTAGTAAGGCTAGTTGAGTGAGGTCATGTACTAGTAATGCTAGTTGAGTGAGGTCATATACTAGTAATGCGCTAATTGAGTGAGGTCATGTACTAGTAATGCGCTAATTGAGTGAGGTCATGTACTAGTAAGGCTAGTTGAGTGAGGTCATGTACTAGTAAGGCTAGTTGAGTGAGGTCATGTACTAGTAATGCTAGTTGAGTGAGGTCATGTACTAGTAAGGCTAGTTGAGTGAGGTCATGTACTAGTAATGCTAGTTGAGTGAGGTCATGTACTTGTAATGCTAGTTGAGTGAGGTCATGTTCATCAGTAACTTCTGGAGAATCATCTTCATCATCAACATATTAACATGTACTGTTGACATACAATCAAACTAAGTTGTATTATTTGGTTTACGCTAACTGCAATTTTGTTATTTTTGCTTCTATTGTGTATACATAGAAATCTAGTGGGTGCACACTTTGTCAAGTACTGACACGAATACGATAACTGACAAATCATAGAACTGAATGTATATTGGGAGAGGGATAGATTAAGAATGAATTTTACAATTCTGAACACACTTTTAAATGCTACATTTATGACAAAAATTACTCTTATTACATGAATCACAAAATATATTCATTTTTGCCTAAAAAATCACATTGTAAATCACATCCAGCTATCCAAATGAAGTCCTACAAAACGACCCAATTTTGAGTGTGTTCCACTATTCCAGCATAATAACGTTGATGTGTACTCTTCAAAAAGTAAAAAAAAATTGCATTACAGTATATAAGGTTGTCATGCAGATCAACTGATTAAATATTTTCTATTTCTGATAAGTTTAGTTATGCCCATCCATCTACATTGTACATGCATGTGTATCATTGCCTGGATATATGCAGGGATTGTCTTGTTTCAAAATTAGATGAAGACATTTTATTCAAAATGTCATCTATTTTGGGTGTATAACAGTCAATTTAATAAAAAACACTAAGCCTCTTTGTCTGAAATAGTTGAACAAAATTTAGGACATTCTGAAAAAATACCAGTACTGAATAACTCACATGGGAGCTTTGCGTAGAGTAATTTCCATTGAAATTACATATGGCACTTTTCGTGGTGGTGTTACATGCACAAGGTATGGTGTAGCCACCCAGTGACCACATTTGATACTGGTAGTTTGCTTTAACCAATTCTGATATACATCTATACCTATACTTAATTATTCCTGTTTTCTCTTGCAGGATCCATAGTGAATGGTCTGCATTCACCTAATAGCGTGAACGGTACTCCTTCACCACCAAGCAACACAGCTAATGCAGTCAATGCTAGTCAAGAACTTCCCCCAGCGTGTGGGGCTAGACAACTTAGTAAGCTCAAAAGATTTCTCACAACGTTACAACAGTTTGGGACAGATATTTCACCAGAAATTGGTGAAAGAGTTCGAAGTCTTGTGATGGCTCTAGTGGTGAGTCTTTATTATATTTCAAAGCACCCATGCAACATTAATACACATTTGTATGTATTTTTAATTATTAAATATGAACATAATTTTTCATTGGATATTGGTGTGAAAATAGAAAAGTGAAAAAAATTATGCTGGTTCATTTTGTCAAAGATGACTTTAGCAAAAACTCAACAAGAAATTTTATAGATTGACTTTTGGGAATTTTAATCCAATAAATATCAATTTCATTAAGAGTACACATTTACATTAATGGATTATTTTCCACATGGTACTCACACCTTTAATGTTGTTGCCATATCTAAAGTGTGTAATGTGGGTTGGAGAAGCTTATGCATACATGTATGGTAGTTTGGACACTTTGTGTTGGTTGGAAAAGATGCTTAGTATTAAGGACAATAACTTTTTATGTACTGTGAAATACTTTATTTTAGCTGGAATAAATTTTTGCTGACAAAACTTTTTGGGTGTTTTGTATGGAATTTATTTTCACTGATTTTTGACGAGTTTAATGTGAAATATAGGAAAAAGGTATATTAGCTGGATTTTATTTTCACAGAAACAGCCCTTCAGCGAAAATAAATTCCAAGCAAAAATAAAGTATTCTACAGTAACATAAGGTTTGAAGAGTTCCATGACTGTTTACTTGGGGAGGGGGTGCATGGAATGTTTTGCATTTTATCTGACAATGTTGTTTCTTAAATTAACAGAACAATCAGCTGTCGGTGGAAGAATTCCACAATAAACTTCAGGAAGCTACAAATTTCCCTCTCAGACCATTTGTGATACCTTTTCTGAAGGTAAGTTGTCACCAGCCATCCTATTCATTGTAATCTTCTTTCTAATGTTACATCAGATAGTTTAAAATCTTAAAATTACCTATTTTTTCTTATTTCTCATTGTAATTTTAATTACGCAAGTAAATCAGATTTAAAAGAAAATGAAATTGTCATAATTGAGGGTGTAACTTCTTGACCTTAATCATAAATAAAATCATGGAGGTCGTTGACATGTGTTGTGCAGGTTGAATTCTGATGAGATAGTGTAATTAATTTGCAGTCATAAACATCAAGCATTTGGTCTGTAATGTGATTGCATGTAATGCCTATGTTGTTTAACGATGCAATATGGTGTATTTTATATCAGGCCAATTTACCTCTGTTACAACGTGAGTTAATGCACTGTGCACGGATGGCAAAGATGACTCCACACCAGTATTATAGTCAACATGAACAGATATTACTGGATACTAAAGCATCACCGGTTGACTCATCCGATATTCTCATGGAAGTTAATGAAAACGGCAAGAGACGAACACCCGAGAGGTAAGAAAGTAATAAAATTGTAAATAAACTGCTATTTTGTATGAGCTCTTACTCTCCTTCCCCTTTTCCCCCCTCCTACTTTTGAGGGTATACTTATAAAAAAAAGTTTTGTGCTGTGATTTTGTCGACGCATCCCATGAAGAGAAATTTCTTATTGCCCCATATCCATCTATGTAACTCAATGTCAGCATGGAATACTTAAAATATCTTGTATAATTATTGTAAACTTAAGGAGTCAGTAAAATGAAAAGTCAGTGATTACCCCCTGTATCTTGATCTACTGTATAGCATTGTCAATTTTAAACGATTGAAAGTCATTCCAAATATTCAAAAATTTGAGGACAAATAATTAAATTGTTCATAATGCGATTTGTTAATAGAGTAAGCAGTACACCCAAGGAGAACGGCAGAGATACGTTACAAGAAGTGCATTTAGCCAAGCGTCACTGTACCGTGAGTCCAAGCAGTGCAAGCCGTTCTAGTCCCAGTGGTAGCATGAATCACCATTCTACTAGCACGGCGCATCCAATCAGAATGGAAGACTTAGCACATGCCAGAGAAATGAGAGAACGAGAAATACGGGAACGAGAAATCCGTGATCGTGAACTTCGAGAACGAGAGATGCGAGAGTTCAGATATGAGAGGGAAAGAGAGAGGCATCATTCAGTTAGTGGTGGTAGTAGTAGTGGTGGTGAGTTTCCAAAATTGTATTATTAGTACCCATCAAATTTAATTTGGCTCATTAGTTGATTTTTGTCAAAAAGAAAATACTAATTACTGCTTTTTGTTTCAGGAATACATAATCGTGAATCAATACATCCTCAAGAATATTCAGCATTTGATGACAGAGTTGAAGATGATTGGAAACATGTAGACACAGTAAGTAACATTGCCCCAGTACACTGCACTCTTAGACACAGTAAAATATTTTATAGATATGTATATATATACATGTATAAGCCAATGTACAAAATCGTTTTGCAGATAGATCAATTGAAAGTATATCTGTCTGGGTTTGAATCCAGCCTGATTACTTGTTCTCTCGTGAAATGTGGTTTGCGTTATATAAAAGTCCTACGACAGCCTATGAGAACAAAGAAATTTGAGTCCATTTCAGAAATAAGACATTTTATATTAGGTCCTGCTATTGAGCATTCTGATTGATGGGTTTTAAGTTGTTTCCTTCTTCCTGCCTTGACATCCAAATTGCTAATAACTGTTCTAATAATCCACAGATGTTACAGTGCATTATGGGTATGGTTGAGAAAACTAAACGTGCAATAGCGGTGTTACATCAGAGGAGTCTCCAGGATCGTGAGGAGTTAGCATTATGGGTCAGGCGACATGCAGAAGGTGCTGAACACGATATGAAGAAACGTGCTGGTGAAATGATGGCACATACAATACGACAGACTGAAGACAGGGTATCTGAAGTGAAAAGGCGAGCTGGTAAGAAATGGTGTAATTGCTCTCTTCTGTATTTACTTATTAGTATTTACTAATTAATCGATGTGATTGGAGCTTAGTCCGCTTTGTGAAGGCTTGATTGCCAATTTCTCCATGTCTAGTTGATCTTGCATAATTCTTTTATGAAAGTTTTTCCATCAACTCTCCTCCCAGGATTTGTAATGCCCTCTTCCAAACTGTTTTTGGTTTTGACTTGGCAGCTTTTGTGGGGTTTACATGTAAATCTCATTCTCAACATTTTTTTTTTACAGAGGACGCTGTGAATGAGGTAAAACGTCAAGCTGTCTCTGAACTTCAAAAAGCTGTAGCTGCAGCGGAACAAAAAGCTAATGAACTTGTGGCAGCTGAGAGAACCAAATTAGATAGAGCTGTTACAGAAGCTAAAAGAGTGGGATTTGAAGAGGCTAATACATTGCTCAATGCACAAGATGATACTAGTGAGGTAGGCATAGTAATTAATGTGTTCAAGTCAAGGTGCTGCTGTATTTTGCCATTTGAGGTTAGGACGTTAAGGGCAGCACTTAATGAATATGCAGGGATGTTAGCAGGTACTGTATGAATATCTCAGGATGTTAGGGGGTACTGTATGAATATGCAGGGATGTTAGGGGATGCTGTATGAATATGCCAGGATGTTAGGGAGTACTGTATGAATATACAGGGATGTTAGGGGGTGCTGTATGAATATGCAGGGGCATTAGGGGGTACAGTATTAATATGCAGGGATATTAGAGGATACTGTATGAATATGCCAGGATGTTAGGGGGTACTGTATGAATATGCAGGGATGTTAGGGGGTGCTGTATGAATATGCAGGGATGTTAGGGGGTACTGTATAAATATGCAGGGATGTTAGGGGATGCTGTATGAATATGCCAGGATGTTAGGGAGTACTGTATGAATATACAGGGATGTTAGGGGGTGCTGTATGAATATGCAGGGGTATTAGGGGGAACTCTATAAATATGCCAGGATGCTAGGGGGTACTGTATGAATATGCACGGATATTAGAGGATACTGTATGAATATGCCAGGATGTTAGGGGGTACTGCATGAATATGCAGGGATGTTAGGGGGTACAGTATTAATATGCAGGGATATTAGAGGATACTGTATGAATATGCCAGGATGTTAGGGGGTACTGTATGAATATGCAGGGATGTTAGGGGGTGCTGTATGAATATGCAGGGGCATTAGGGGAACTCTATAAATATGCCAGGATGTTAGGGGGTACAGTATGAATATGCACGGATATTAGAGGATACTGTATGAATATGCCAGGATGTTAGGGGGTACTGTATGAATATGCACGGATATTAGAGGATACTGTATGAATATGCCAGGGGGTACTGTATGAATATGCACGGATATTAGAGGATACTGTATGAATATGCCAGGATGTTAGGGGGTACTGTATGAATATGCATGGATGTTAGGGGGTACTGTATGAATATGCAGGGATGTTAGGGGGTGCTGTATGAATATGCAGGGGCATTAGGGGAACTCTATAAATATGCCAGGATGTTAGGGGGTACAGTATGAATATGCACGGATATTAGAGGATACTGTTATGAATATGCCAGGGGGTACTGTATGAATATGCACGGATATTAGAGGATACTGTATGAATATGCCAGGACGTTAGGGGGTACTGTATGAATATGCATGGATGTTAGGGGGTGCTGTATGAATATGCCAGGATGCTAGGGGGTGCTGTATGAATATGCAGGGGTATTAGGGGGAACTCTATAAATATGCCTGGATGTTGGGGGGTACTGTATGAATATGCCAGGATGTTAGGGGGTGCTGTATGAATATGCAGGGATGTTAGAGGGAACTCTATAAATATGCCAGGATGTTAGGGGGTACTCTATAAATATGCCAGAATGTTAGGGGGTATCGTATGAATATGCATGGATGTTAGGGGGTACTGTATGAATATGCAGGGATGTTAGGGGGTGCTGTATGAATATGCAGGGGCATTAGGGGAACTCTATAAATATGCCAGGATGTTAGGGGGTACAGTATGAATATGCACGGATATTAGAGGATACTGTATGAATATGCCAGGATGTTAGGGGGTACTGTATGAATATGCACGGATATTAGAGGATACTGTATGAATATGCCAGGGGGTACTGTATGAATATGCACGGATATTAGAGGATACTGTATGAATATGCCAGGATGTTAGGGGGTACTGTATGAATATGCATGGATGTTAGGGGGTGCTGTATGAATATGCCAGGATGCTAGGGGGGGCTGTATGAATATGCAGGGGTATTAGGGGGAACTCTATAAATATGCCTGGATGTTAGGGGGTGCTGTATGAATATGCAGGGATGTTAGAGGGAACTCTATAAATATGCCAGGATGTTAGAGGGTACTCTATAAATATGCCAGAATGTTAGGGGGTATCGTATGAATATGCATGGATGTTAGGGGGTGCTGTATGAATATGCAGGGGTATTAGGGGGAACTCTATAAATATGCCTGGATGTTGGGGGGTACTGTATGAATATGCCAGGATGTTAGGGGTGCTGTATGAATATGCAGGGATGTTAGAGGGAACTCTATAAATATGCCAGGATGTTAGGGGGTACTCTATAAATATGCCAGGATGTTAGGGGGTATCGTATGAATATGCCGGGATGTTAGGGGGTACTGTATGAATATCATATATCATATCATATATCATATTATATCAATTTGCCAGGATGTTAGGGGGTACTGTATAAATATGCCAGGATGATAGGGGGCACTGTATAAATATGCAGTGATATTAGAGGATACTGTTTTAATATACAGTCATGAAAATTAAACATAAATTTAACCATGCATGTGTACGTGTCTTATTAGTTCATTGCTTCACTGAATATTGTTTGTTCAAAATATAATAAAACAAGTCATGTACTGCATAAAGCCTCAGATCTGATGTTTTCTTTGTTTTCCTTGTAATAGAGTTGCTGGAACTGTGGACGCAAAGCTAACGAGACGTGCAGTGGATGTAATACAGCAAGGTACTGTGGATCATTCTGCCAACATAAAGACTGGGAAAATCATCATAGGATGTGTGCTCAAGTACAAGCTCAGCAACACACTGGTGGTCCAGCACCAAGCATCAATGAGAAACCAGCATTGGCATCTACAACCAGTGCTGCTCCCCCCTCCTCTTCATCTGCAGCTAATGTCACAGCAGTAGTCACGGCTACAACAGCAGCCAGTCCTGCTGAGTCCAATGCCAAGACTTCATCAAGGTCAAGTACACCTGTGATTACCAGCAGTGGAGAATCGCGTTAGTTGCTCTTCTACCTAGGATACATCACATTACCTCTTTGTCCTCAACCTTGGATTCAGTAGGTTCATCACATTGCCTCTACCTGGGATACAAGGGGTTCATCGCATTATCTCAAACTAGGATACAAGGGGTCCATTGTATTACCTCTACCTGGGATACAGGTGGTTCATCATATTACCTCTACCTGGGATACAAGGGGTCCATTGTATTACCTCTACCAGGGATACAAGGGGTCCATCGTATTACCTCAACCTGGGATAGAAGGGGTCCATTGTATTACCTCTACCTGGGATACAAGGGGTTCATCGTATTGCCTCCATCTGGGATACAAGGGGTTCATCGTATTGCCTCCATCTGGGATACAAGGGGTTCATCGTATTGCCTCCATCTGGGATACAAGGGGTTCATCGTATTGCCTCCATCTGGGATACAAGGGGTTCATCGTATTGCCTCCATCTGGGATACAAGGGGTTCATCGTATTGCCTGTCCACCCAGTACTTGGGATACAAAGATTTCAGTGCATTGCCAAAGAGAGTTATTATTGTTGTATCCTGGGATAGATGAAATGAATTCAACTCATTGGATCCACAATCTGAAAGAGAAAATAGTTTTAAAAATTGTTTATGACTCTATTTCTGATATGAACTCAGTGTTTATTGTAAAGTCACCATGCTGTTGCCGTAGGTGTTGTCATGCATATCATGTCCATGTAGTTGTCAGGTGATCAGAATCTTCTATTTTATTATTAAGGTGCTTGTACTAATTGGAATATTACATATAACTCTTTTGACACTGTGAGTATGCATGTGTTTTATGATCGTTATTGGAAAGACAATCACATAATGAACCTATCGACAATGCAAGTATATTTTAGCTCGTTCCCAGAATGCGATCGAGAACAAATCTCCTTCTAATTCAACTGTATATGGAGTACTGTGTTTGTTTTCAAGTTTGCATACAAAGTCAATTATATGAATTAACTACATTTTATGTGCCACAAGGTTTCATCATTAAATTATCCAAATAATTACGCTAATTAGTGATTAATTGCTATCATTAATTAACTTTTAAAACTTTTTTTTTTCCATCTTGAGTTTGAAATAAACTCTTAGAACACCGTCTTTGGGATTACTCTGGCTGTACAATGTTCGGACCAAAGATTTTAACCCAGGCTCAGTTTGAATATTTTATATTTTATATTTGTGTAAAACCTATTTTAGTTATCTTATTTATCTGGCACACACATACATAATATATTTTGTCATTATACATTATCCTTTTACAGAGTTTAATATATTGTTTTCTTTACTTGTCAAAATTCATACGTTATAATGTCAAACAAGACTTTGTTACCGTTATAGAGTAGAAACATAATTTATTCATAGAGTTAACCAAACAATGTCTATACAAAGCGCCCTCTATGGTCTCTTCACCCTGTGGAACTCTTTTACACATATTTTCCCTGTAGAGGGGGCTATGTAAGAGTTGTCTATATTCATATTACACCTTTAGAGGGCGCTGCTCATTGACAGGCTTGGTGTTTTTGTATGGTTTAGATAAGTTTGCTTTTCATGCAGAACAAGTGGTGCGTAGTTCTGTGAAATATATAACAGGTCTACTTTAAATTATGTGTGCTGAAAACGAAGACAGTTGAACATAGTGAATGGTGTGTGTTTATACTGCCATCTATTCCTATATGATGTCAATATATTGTGTTGTTTATGCTGCCCTCTATGCTTCTGATGTCAAAATATTGTGTTTGTTAATACTGCCCTCTATGCCTGTGATGTCAGTACAGCGCAATGTTAACCGTCAAGTATTATGTGAGTGTGTTGTGATTAAAAAGTAGCAGGCATTGCTATGGCAACTATTTCAGGGACAAGCATGCTGCAGTTTAGTGTAAATTTCAAAACCAATTTTGTGATATTTTTTACGTATTGATCTTATTTTCTGGTTGATAAAGTTATTGCTGAAATATGCTTTGTCTCATGCAACTACTGCCATACATACACCTTGTTTTGTAAAATATTACTGCTGTTTGGCTGGTTTAACCATGGTGGCAGTCTTTG